ATAACCATCTCCAATTTTCAGATGAAGTGTGGAGATGTGCGATTGCATTAAGTTGTTCGATGTTCGGGATGTTCGGGAGCGATGACAAATCACCCAATCGTACAATTTAGTCTCGAGTTTATCCCAGTGATCTTCAAAATCAACTATGTCAGGAATGTCAGTAGCTGTAGTTCTTTTTAAGGACCCATAATGACGGATTTATGAGATTATATCACCTTTTGAATGAGCTGTGGATTAAGCAGCCATCTTGGCTCGCTGACCGAATTAATCGCTTTCTCTTATCCAGGTTTCGTAAGTTAAAGGAGCAAGTTAGGACAGGACAAGGACAAGGACAAATGCATATGAGCTCAGCTGAAAAAGGTTCGTTAACATGTAAGGGCGACAGTAAACGAGAGATCGGATTGTTAAATAGTGGAAAGTGCACTTAGCTTATATCCAGCTAGATTACAGACACTCCACTCAAATAATTAGAAACAAATAATCCAAATAGAACATAACGGGATTAAAAACCCCAAGGAGGCATCTAGTTGGCTATTTACAAGCATGGCCGAGGATTTGAACTCCAGACGACCGAGAACAAATCCAGCAACTATAGCCAGAGCGGGACTCGTATCTGGAACTCTTGGTCGGGAGTTATTTTCTGCTGGTCAGCCGCTATCTGCATCCAAATCTGAGAAGCTGGCCAGGATTATTGCACCTGTCCGGAGATCGAACGCCACAATTTTGCTGTAGTGCAGCTAAGGAAAGATTGTTATCTCTATTTTATCTCTCATAAATAAGCCTTATTCTTGACAGGTTATCTTGCTTGAAGCTGAGAACGTAACCGAAGGTATTCTACGAAGGACAACCTGATCTTCATACTGCATTTAGAGGACGATCACATGAGCATCTGATCATACCTGCCGGCGGAACCCAGTTATACAATGCGTTCCTTAATTGCAATGTAAACAATATTCAAATGTATTCACCGACATATAAGTATACCCTACTGCTTTTTAATATTTGAGAATACGAAAAAAATTATGCCAATAAAGTCCGTCGTCTTACATCATAAAAAAAAAAAGTTGACAAGCATTCTTCAGGAGATAGAAGACTAACAGGTGAAGGAGTCTGTTACCATAAAGGACCTTTTTGACAACTAGAATCTGCAGCAGTGCAGAAAGCACTGCAACATGGTAAGCTTAAGGATCTCCCGCCCCCTTTTCCCTTCGACTGCCACGGATTTCTTATAGAGAGCTGCCATCGCCGGGTTCGGAAAGGCCAAATAATTTACCAAGAATGGTTATGTGTCTGATAACCTGCGAGAACCCGGTCGAAGAAGTCAAGTAAAAGTCCCCAACTTAAAGAGCCTCTCTTAACAGCTGTTCTTAGTCTGGCACCATGAAACCGGGACAACATAAGTGTACCGATTGATGTAATATCGTTGGCAAAAAACGAACGCTTTTCACCGTAGAACGATGACGTCATGATACAAAAGGCGTCTTCACTCTGGCATCCTCAATTTCAAGCCGTCAAAACCTAATGTTCTCTGCTCTTCAACTAAAAAACGCCTCTAAGGACGAGTAGTGGTAATGTACTTGTTAGTAAGACGTCCAACATAACAGGAAACATTCATAATCCATTTGGTCAATGCATTTATAAAGGGATACAATCTCCTTTACCCTTAGGGACAGAGTTCAAAAGCCCACTGAAAAGATTTTTATTTTAGCTCTAGTATGTGTTGTCTAGCGATTTGCCTTGAGCTTCTCTGAATTTTCGAGATCAAACAAGCTGTGCCCATCGTACATAATCTTGCCTAGGCTCCCTTGAAAAATTGCACTTGATCAGAAGCCTTCAAGTTCATCGTCGGCGCCGCGACAACTTCATGATCTATTTTAATGGGTGGTTTTCTGGAACTATCCTATGGTTTGTCCTTTCTGGTCACTATATTAGCGAGCACGTTTCAATTTCTCTCCAGCAAAAGTCTCTATCAGGAGTGTAGCCAGGATTTTCCAGGTGTGCGCACAATTTTCAAAACTTACCCTCACTTCTTATTCAGTTCTCCGGTAACGTTTCCCCATTACGTTTGCTAATTCTGTTAACTAGGTGAGGTTATGCGAAGATGAAATGGCAATTGCAATCCGTGAGAAAATTGGGTTAGACACTTTGCCCTCAAGGACGGCTCTTACGTTTGCTGACACTTTCTACCTTGGAAGGGAAAAGTGGAGCTTTGCCTTCCCCACTCCCTGTAAACAATGTCGTTCGGCTGTTCAAACTAAAACTACCCAACTTTAATTTGTAATAAAGAAATCCAAATTGTTTTCAAATCTTCTTTAAACTGTGCGCCACGCAAATGGCGTGTTTCACTGATTTTAAGACGAAAATTGTGAAGCAGTGTCTAGTGAGTACGGGGGCTAATGCTCCATCGTAAAAATTTGAAATTGAAAGAAAAATATTGTATAATAGGAATACACATTTTTAGTTATTTTTTTCGAGTTGTGAA